AAAGCTTTAGTGTAGTGGAAACCAATTTAAACTATCTATACATGGTGATGTGCTACTGACATCAAGTATTATGCTTCTAATATTCTAGTGCCTCTGTATTGTGAAGTTCCACAGTACAAAACAAAGAGACACCATATTGGTACAGCTGAAACATAGTGGGAGAAATCTTCGCCCCACTGAAGTCCATGGGAGTTTTACCATTTACTTCAATGGAGCTTGGATTTCACCCATTAAAAACAACAGTTGTCCTTCATGTGAACTGTATCTGCTGAAGATTACTGGAGCAAAAGTCTAGCTAATATTTTATAGGTTCTACGTTTAATTTCTAAATTTAACTCATACATAAAAATCCTTTTTTCCTTGCATTGGAATAAGCAACAGTTTCACCATTTGTTTTGTCGCCATCATAAAGCTTAAGGCCAGAAGGAAACACCAGATCATCACGTCTGACCTCCTATATATCGCAGACCACCAGCACCACTCAGCACCCACACACTAAACCCAGCAAACCAAAATTAGACCAAAATATTACAGCAGCCCACAGAAGACGAAACTATTATGTGCCACAGGCAGAGAATGGGACAGATGGAGGTGCTCCAATGCCTGAGGCCTTTGCAAGGCAGTGAATTGATTAAGTGAGATATACCCTGATAATACCAGCAAGTGTCCTGCACCTATATGCTGCAGAGGAAGGCAATAAACACCAAAACTCACTGCAATCTGACCCGAGGGGAAATTCCTTCTTGACCTCACATATAGTGATTTGTTAGACCCTAAGCATGTGATCAAGAACCAGCCAGCCAAGCACCTAAGGGAGTGAATGCTCGGTGCCATCTCAGAGCACTGGCCCACCCAGTCTGGTATCCCATTCCAGTCATGGCTATCTGACACTTCAGAAGAAGCAGACCAAAAAAACCAACAACCCAGAATACACTGGGGGACGGGGTGGAATCCCTTCCTGATCCCTACAGGTGACTGTCTGAAGTCCTGAAGCATGAACTTTTAGGAACATGAGACATAAAGCGAAAGGGACCTTAGGTATGCCAAACCCTGCCCCGCACCATCAGAAGCACCCCGTCATACTATCACATTCAAAAAATTGTCCATCTCTCTCTCAAAATTAATTAAGTTATTTTCCCCCACAACTCCTATTGGGAGGTTGTTCCAGAACCTCACTCCTTTGATGGTTAGAAACCTTCTAGTTTCCAGCCTGAATTTGTTCATATCCAGTTTATACCCATTTGTTCTTGTGGATTTTAAATAAGTCAAGCATGGAAGCCATTACTATAAAAAGTGGATTAAAATATATTTAGCTGATATATGTATTACCTAATAGATAAGGGTTGCCTCCAAAATTTTGCTCCTTCTAAATTTAGAGGGTTAAGATGCCTAAACAGAGAATGTTTCCAGTAGCCTAACATTAGTTATTATTTATAAATATTGTTTTAAAAATATAATAGTGTGATATCAGTCATGAATATTAAAAGAAATGGAATACAATATATTTCTTGGGAATTCCTATCTCTACATTTTATAGACCTCAGTTATGATCTACCCAGTCACTCTCATTATATCAGACTTTGCAAGAGTTGTTCCTCAGCAGGAGTGGGGGGACAACAGTGGGATTTGATGACACTCGAATATGGGTATGCCTACACTGCAATGTTTTTGCTCAACAAGTTATGACACTTTTATTAAAGTGCTGAAATTAAACCACTGTTGCATGTGCACACTGTGCTCCACATTAGCAGCTCTTGCAACGGCAAAGAGAGTAGTGCATTGTGGTAGCAATCCCACTGTGCAACTGGCTGCAGGGTGCTTTGGGAAGGGTTTGCAATGACAGCATCACATGATGCAGGTTTGCCAATCCCATTGTTCCATGGGCATCCTACTGCATTGCCAGCTGCTTTTCAACTGAGGTAGGAGGGGGAGAGTGTGTGACAGAGAGTGTGTGTATGGGGGCGGGAGAGACAGTGTGTTTTGGGGGACAGAGAGTGTGTCAGCATGCTGTCTTGTAAGTTTAGACAGCGACAGGAAGCAACCAGTCCTGAGGCAGGGGGAGGGGGAAACGCCAACATCAGCCCCTGCCTCCCTCCCCAGCTCTCTGCAGAGCAATCTCTCTCGCTCACACACACACGCCTGACTCTGTGTTCAACAGCATGAGCATTCCACAATAATGTTTTGTTTTGTGTCCTAGAGCAGATCAGCACAGAATACAATGGCTGTCAGAAATGGAGCTTTGAAAGGGGAGAGGCGCATGCCTTGAGGGCAGCCAATGAAGTTCAAAACAAGCAGAGTGGCCACTTGAGGGATTGTGGGACACTTCCGGAGGCCAATTACAGTGCTGAAAGCAATTGATGTGTTTACACTGGCAATGCAGCGCAAGAGCATCTGTGCTGCAAGCCTTACGACTCTCTTCGAGGTGGGTTTTTTGCAACGCTGCAACTGAGGAGTTTCTGTGCACTAAGTGGCTTGGCAGTTTGTACACCTTGGGAGTTACACCACAGAAAGCTGCTTTACTGCGCAGAAACTTGTCAGTGTAGACAAGGCCTACTTTGCTGAATAGAGATGGACTTAAGCATATGCTTAAGTACTTTGGTGGACTGTAGCCTTAGCTGTGATCTTTTGCACTTCTCCATCCCAATGAGAGTTTATTTTACAAAAACATTTTTCAAAATCAGAATATCATGAAGTGAAAATTTGAGCAGTGCAACCTACTGTCACAACTACAGAAAGTTAGAGAAGAGAACTATAATACCAGTTTGCATCATTGTGCCATATTAGCTAAACACAGATTGCTTGGAAAAAAACAAATAAAAAATCTTTATGCAGAAATAAGTGGATGAATAGCATTGTATGAAATATTCAAAAAAGGGAATGCTTCAGGGAAAGTAATTTTGACATCTTTACTCTGGTCTCAGCAATGAAACATCTACTGGGAGTTGTCAGGAAGTGAAAATGGAACTGTGAGACCCATTAAATAATCAATTCAAGTTATGTCAATTATCTTTTTTCTTATTATGAATGTGAATGTAAATTATTTCCTTGCCATTGAGTGATTTATTTTACAGAGAGAAGACTATGTAATTATAATCATGAACTAGCATTTTATTATCAGCTTCACAGTGAAGACTCCTTTCTGAATGCATATTTCAGGAGGAAAATTGATATCACTTTAAGGCTAAGGGGGAAGTTTTCAAAGACACAAACGGCAGGTAGGTGTCTAACTCCCATAGACTTTCAATGAGAGTCAGGTGCCTAACTGTGATTTGTGTCATTGAAAATTTCTCCCTATCTTGAGAAATTGTAGCAAGTTTTCTGTTCTGAACGAGTGTTAAGTTTCTATTTTATTCTACACAGGTTCTTATCCCACCCACCTCACAGTAATGTCCGAGCATCTAGCTGTATGGAACATAGCTGTACATTACAACTAGATATGGACCTAACTTGGCAACTTCAATGTATGAGGTTGGGGGTTGACATTTTTTTTTTATTTCTGTTCATGTAGAATTATACCCTAAATTTCAAATCTGAATGAACATGATCAAAGCAAAATTCTGCTGAACTAACTTCTAAATCTCATTCTTAAGGCTCAAACCCCAAGATTGTGATCTATTATTTAATTCACTTTGAAGAAAAGTACAAAATACATGCTGAGTGTTCATGTCAATATTTTATTTTATGTACTTAAATCCTTTTCCTTAATCTGCTTTTCTATGACATCAACCTTTTCCAACATGGGAGTGTGGATGGGTGGACAAATTTCTGTGTTTCAGATTTAAATTTGGAATAATTAGGACACATTTATACCAATGGCCCCCATCCTCCATTCAGATGGGGGGATGTTTGAGCCAATTGGCAGGGGACAGACAAACTCCAGGTCCTAGGAAGAGGAGGAAGGGAGGGGCTGGCTTGGCTGCTCTGGAACTTTGCCCCATACCCTCCCTGGCCATAATGCACCTGGACACTGCTTGTGTAGAGATTGGGGAGGGCAGGGAAGGACAGATTTCTCTGCTTCCTCCTGCCGCCCATTTGCTGGACTGTAGGAGGAAGGGATAGCTGATTAGCACTCATACACCACCGTCCTCACTGGCATGCAGCAGGCATCCTATTGCTATTGCTGCTTTGCTCCCCCATCCTCTAACTGAGGGAAATACAATTCAAACTATATACAAGACTGCAATGGGTCTGACTAGATCACCAGCAGCATCCTGGGGCCTGTTTTAGGTTAGTATAGAGAAAGAACAATAATTTACACATTGTAAATTTAACTAGTGGAGTTTGTAAATTTTGTTGCAATTTATAGCTGGTGTCCAGTGTAGGTAAGAACCTCAAAGGGGCCAGCTCTCAGGGCAAATGTGTAAGAGGTCCAGGAGATGGCAGGTGGACCATATTAACCTAAAGTAGAAAGGAAGACCTGAAGTCAGCAAAGACTCAGGTACACCTTGTGTGTACGCTCATTCCCTATCACTGGGAGAGGGAGAGAGGAATCAGAGGTGGGCTGAATCCTAAGGGTTGGATGAAAGGGGGCCAAACTTAAATATTGGTTATTTTGCCATTTAACGTCACATTGGACCCAAGTAAATAAAGATGAGGCCTTCCCCGATATTTATTCCTTTGTCTGTGTTTCGTTCTCCAACTGCCATTTGGTGCCAATCAATAAAGAAAATCTAATGTTCGCTTTGTGAAATTACCTCTTTAATGCTAGCATTCGGTTCTTAAATAGTTCTGTTCCATTTTTGCACTGAATCAAGCAATTAAATTATTCAGGAAGATAACATGTGCAGAAGTTCATCTAAAAATGAAGATGGTTTATTACAGTATTAACAATTTTTTCTTGTATACAAAACTAACCTTTTGTGCCAAGCCTAGTGCTAACATAATACATTCTTCTAAATAGTATTTGAGATATAATTAAACAAATATCTCTCATTTAAATAAGGCAAATCTCTGTAAATAGACCTAACTTGTTATCATGTTTTGCAGGAACTAGAATCTTTTCACATTGCATCGATCATTTCTTGAATGCTGATTGCTTGCTTGTAATCAGCAATGGCTTCTTCACTGAATCCCATTTTACCACGAACATCAGCTCTAAGTTTATACATCAAAGCGTCATTAGGTTGAATTGACAATGCTGTAAAAATGAAAAATAAATGTTAAGGCATTTTTAAATTTCAAAAGATTGTTATGATTATTATTATAAAAAACAGCACATGCTAAAAGCCCATCTGAAAGTTGAGACAAAGTATATTTCAAAACCCACATGCTCTCAATAGGAAATACATATGTCCAATTCATATTATATTTATAGCAGGAGCTAAGTAATTTTGTTAAGATATTTACACTCTTACTGTCTCCCTTGGACTCTCCTTTTTCTCATCTTGATGTTAGATATCATCATGGCATGTTTATAAATCTGACTCTAGCAACTGCTGAAGCATCAGAAGCCACATTCTTCCTCCCAAATCAGGTTCAACACCAAAACAAAAATCAAGCAGTAGGAAACCATTATCAATCTATTCCTTGGTGCCAGCAATGCACATTGTCTCAGAGTCAGATTTCCTATTGTTCAAAGGTATTTAAATAACTAACTGTTGGCAAGTATTTAATCTGTTGTTTAAAGAGTCTAGTTCCCAGCAAACTCCCTATTTTACAGTAATCAATTCCGTAGACAAGATTTCATAGTTATTCTGTTCTGACATCATGAAAATCTACTTTTAATAGAAAAAAATCAGTGAAAATAAGAAATTTTATACATCTTTACCCAAGTCATGTTTTCATATAATTTAGACAAACTTATATTGTAAGCGTGTACCGGCTAACTTCTCAGTAAGACTTGATCATATTTATTGTTGGTGGAAAAATTATTGCACTTGCAATCAACTATTATTTGGTTCAAAGTACAGACAGTAGCATAACAATGGTACTCTAGTTTGCATAGGGCTGTGATTCAAGGACTTTGCAATCAAAATCCAATGAAATAACTTCATTTTAGGAACGGTCAAACAACCTGACCATGGCTTTGTTAGCTGAGATCGAAAGACAGGAATTGGTTAAAGATGGGTGGCAAACAGGGATGCACTTAGCTGGTTTGCACACACAAATGTGGGATTTGTGAAACTTAGCTCTATGTATACATTATAAAATTAATTTTAAAAAAGTCTTTATCTGTAATTGGCTAAAGCAGTAGTGACTGAGTAGGTAATGAACTCAGATGCCCTCAGGGTTTGTGAGGGTAGCATGAGTGCACATCTTTCTGCTACAACTTTCTTTGAAAATCTGGCTCAGAGTTCAGCTGCTATGGTACATATTACATATGACATATTTTCTTCTAATCAGTAATTGGAAATAAACAGATAATGGAATTTTTTGGTTTCGTGGCTGAACTGAACCCTCCTCCCCCTCTCAAAAAAATCATTTTGGGTGAACCCATAATAGTTGTTTTGGTTTTTTTTAACCAAAACAACCATCTCCCCCATCAAAAAAAAAAATTACTCACACATTTAGGCTTTTTGGGTTATAATCCTTTTGGGGGATTTTTAATTAAATCTAGCTAAATTCAAAACATAGCTTTGTTTAAAAACAAAAAGTCAAAATGTTTAATTTTGAAAACAGTGAAAGGAGACATTTAGACTTTTTCAGAAAACTTTGTTTTCCGGCTAAAACCATTAGTCAAATTCAGCTCAAATTCACAAATAGTTTCTGTTGACCCAAAACTGCATTTTTTGGCAAATAAAATTATTTGTCCAAAAAAAAATATTGCCCAGTTCTACTAGTTAATTTTCATTAGAAAAACAATAATAATTTTTAGCTGGCATTTTCATTACAACTCCCTTTTCAATCTCATAGCCACTCCTATAGAAGTTAAGAACTTAAATAAATATATTAAATACATAAACGGAAATAGTTGCTAATACTTTCTGAACTGTGAAATAGAGGCAAAATAATTTGTTCTTATTATTATAACTGAAACTATGCCAGGTACTGAACAAAAAGTACCTGTTGAAATATCCTTCTCAGCTAGCTCATATTGCTTTAATGTTCTATAGAGGTTTGCCCTGTTAAAGTACATTGCTGCAGAGAAAGGGCAGAGACAAATTGCCTTCTCAAAATCTTCTTTTGCTTCTTCGATATTTTGTAATAATGTATTTGTAATAGCTCGATTCAGGACTGCAGATTCATTTCGTGGGTCAAGCTGTAATGCCTTGGAATAGTAGGAATTGGCCTGTGAAATATATAAAATGAAGATATTATGTACCATGCAAACTTCTGAAATGCTGTATATATTTTTATATTGTATTAATAATCAAGGTAGCAGAAATCCACAGGATTTATGCAAGAATGACAAGGTTTTTGCAAGGATCTTTGAGAAGAAGAATTCAGCCACTCTTTCGCAACAGAATGATTTACTATTATTTATTAGTAGTACTATGGTAACACCCAGAGGCTTCAATCAGGATTGGGTTCCCATTTAGGGTTGCTACCTTTCGAATAGCTGGTAACTGGACTCCCCAAACCCCCTCCCCCTGCTCCGCCTCTTCCCCCAAGGCCCCGCCCCTGCTCCACCTCTTCCCCCAAGGGCCTGGCCCTGCTCTACCTCTTCCTTCAAGGCCCCACCCACTTCTCCACCTCTTTCCCCAAGTACCCACCCCTGCTACACCTTTTCCACCCCAGATTTTTAAAAAAACGGACATCGGGGTTTGTTAAATGGCACCTGGACACCCAAACTGTCCAGGTGAAAACCGGACGGGTGGCAACCCTATTCCCACTCTGTTAGAGGCTGTACAGAAAGTATGAAATGGTCCTTGCCTCCAAAGAGCTTACTAGGAAAATGCAAGGGGAACTTCGGTGTTTGATTACCTCAGGCCCTCCCCAGGGTATTTCTGCAGAAGGGAGTGATTCAAGACTCTGAGGGTACTACAACAGGGAGAAAACCTGGCTTAGTAGTTAAAGCATAGGCCTGTGAGACAGGAGATTTGGGTTCTACTCCTCACTCTGTCACTGAATTACTGTGTAAACTAGGACAATTACTTGACTTCTCTTTGCCATAGTCTCCAGGGCAAAAATTTCAGACGCACCTGGCTGATTCAGTAGCCTAAGTCTCATTGAAAGTCAGTGAGATTTAGGTTTCTAAATTACTTAGGAATTTTTGAAGATTTTGGCCCCCATCTAAAAAATTTGTTAGTCTTTATTCATAAATATTTGTAAAGCACTTTGAGATCATCAGATAAAACGAACAGTAATAGAACATAGTAGTATTATGTATTACTTATTACTATATATTAATTCATACCCTATCAGAGTGCAGCTAAATTATTAAATTAAATGTTAAAAGATTCAAGTAAAATCTTACATTTATACACTAATTTGTATCAATGACATTATTCCTTAGTCAAGGAAAAGTGTTCTAAGAATGGTATGAAAATAGAACATAAAACCTACCTGTGAAAATTGCCTGTGATGAAAGTAGATATTTGCTGCATTGAAATAGGCTAAAGCATAGCCAGGGTTGATGGAAATTGCTTGCTGATAATCTTTCATAGCACAGTTTAAGTAACCCATAAACTGGTTAATGACACCCCGGTTTGTAAGCAGCTGAGCAGTGGTAGTGAGCTGAAATGTAATAATATATGCACTCTTATTTGAACAAAGTCCACATTTCTACATTAATAACAAGACTCTTTCTTTAAAGGAAACGTATAAAAATAGAAAGCACCTCCTAATCTAAATCTACAATTATTCATACACAGTTCTTCAAATTTATGTGCATTATTTAGTGGCCTAATAATAGCAGGTTCATATTTATAAATCAACTGAAAACCAACATTTACCTTTAGTGCTGCATTTGTATCTTGAAATGCAGCAAAAGTATCACCCATCTGAAGACAGATCACAGCTCGTCCATCATAGGCAATATGGCATTTTGGATCAATGTCAATGGCAACTGTAAATTGATTCCAAGCTTTCTGAAACTTTCCAAAGGCCTAAAAAGAGTTTTAACATATGAATATTATTAAACATACCACATACCAATGGCCATATTTTCAAAAATTATAGGCATGTGGGAAAATTGCACATGCCCCTATGTTGCCACATTCAGTTATTTAATTTTGTGCACAAACTGGGAAAAGATGAATGCAAATAGCTAGTTAGATATCCACACACCCACTGCATTTACATGCTACCTTTACAGGAACTGCACATGCAATTGCTGTTGTACCTGGGCTTCTATCCTCAAGTTTTAAATGTCTGGCCCTGTGTGATAATATAATGAAGTGAAGACTCATTTCTATGCACCTGCCTTCCCACAATAACATCAGAATGTCTTGGTGTGACCCTCTCTCCCTGGAGATATTAAAATAATAACAGTAATAATCCTTGGGTTACACACTATCCAAAACTAAATAAGTTAGACCTAGTGAGAGCCACTCACTAAATACGAGAGAATAAAAATGAGAAACACCAGCATAATTGTTCAAAACAGTATATGAAGAAAGCACAGAAATTCTGTTAGACAGCAACAATATCTCACTTTCACTTACTTGTGAATATGAGCCTATAACCTTAAAATTGGGAGAGCTATGTTTTATTGTCATGTAGCCAAATTTGAGGTCTTAGCTGCCCATGGACAAGTGATCTGATATTTTTTTGCCCTAGGCTGGAAGTAGGCCCAGCCCCACTGGTTATGGAGGAGTAAGAGATGCGAGACTAAAAGGGGGATGGAAATATGCATGGGGCAGGATGAGCTGTTGAGTGAGGGGGAATAGAAAGATGTAAGGGAAGTAAATGGCTAGACCCCACTTCTTCAAGTTCTGATGACTGATTCACGGGTTCACTAACATTCTACCTTGGAAGACCTGGATTTGAATTTTGACCGAGTACAAATAAGTTTGGTAATCTTATCTGATTCACCAAGAAACAGTCACACAATTTGGATCCATTCAGCAGAACCAGCACTCTGTTGTTGAAAGAGACTTCCTTGTATGACTGAAAACAATGTCAGAAAGGCTGCTTTTTAAGACCGATGATAACACTCAGCACTTAGAGAGTACTTTATAAAGCACAGTGCGAACATTAATTAATTAGAATTAAAACATATTTGCAGAGCTGTGAGGAAATTTGCACATGGCCTACCCAAGTAAGCCTGATGCAGGCTGATAAAATTAGTCCCTCATTTACACAGGCACAAAATTAACTCACAACTTTGTTGGAAAGAGGGTTTTTTCAGACAAATGGGTATAACAACAAAGCACAGTAACAATGTTGTAAAATCATGGGAATTAGAGAGGAGAAAAAACACACGATATGTCAATTCATACATGACTTTGCTAATGCAGGATTGTTCTTTTTGGGGTATAGCTAAGTGGTTTTCAGATTTCATTATATATAAGCCCTTTTTGAAGGGGCTTAATACATTTGTTAACATTTTGTTTTGGATTGACTTAACATACAAGATTTTCCTTTTACATAGATTCACCAAAAATATCTAAGTCACTTTGTACGTAGCAGCCTGCTGTCTAGTGTTATTGATTACAATACCATTCAAGGTATCTGGGCATGATTACCAATACGACTCTATTTTTCTCTGGGCTGATTAAGGAGATCAAGTCTCTTGGTACTCAACAGTAAATCCACCAATCAAGTAAGATGCAGCACAGACAAATTTCAAAGGGAATTGCAGCCTATCTCTTTAGTTGAAAAGAATAGTTAAAGTGAGTAGGGGGGAAAATAGAGAGTAACAAAGGGTTCCATTAAGGATACAAGTTATTTTATCTGGCTGAACAGTGTTTAACTAGTTTGCAGTATTACTATGTATGGAGTACGGACTAAATTTTATATATGAAAAATAATGCTCCTCTCTTTGTCACAGGATATTACAAACTATGATCTTTGGTGTATTACCTGTAAATTGTATCCTAAGCAAATTCTGGCTTTCACACACTTTGGGTTAAGATGCAGTGCTTTCAGGAAGTCTTTCTGTGCTTGGGTGTTGCCAACTTCATGACCATATTCCATGTATGAATTTCCTCTTGCAACATAGGCATCCAGAGAAAAGGGATCTAGTTTAAGCACTTGGGTAAATGAATTCACAGCTTCTTCATACTGCTCAAGTCTAAAAATAAATATAGACTTGACGGTCAGTGCTTTATTAATTTTTTTAAATCAGTGATTTTAATTGTTAATGAAAGGTGCCAGATTTACAGCTCTAGAAACTTAGGTTCTCATTTCATCCACTAAACAGAAAGCACTGGCAGTGCACACTTCCCCAACCTGTCCTGAGAAAGTACATTAATCCTGGTTTTCAGGGACAATGGTTAAAAAAATATGACTATGATTAATTCTCCATGCACAGTCCTTTTCTTGATCATTACAGAGGCCAATGCTGTTAGTCTGTGAACTTGTAAAGACTTAGGGTGAAATCCTGTCCCCAATAAAGTCAATGGCAAAACTCCTGTTGACTTCAGTGGAGCCAGGATTACACTCAGCAGATTCCAATGTGGCTTGGTTTGTTCAGGTTCAGATTTCCAGCTGAACCATTCTCACAGTCCAATTTCAATACCAAACACACTTTGTGCCAGTCTGTTCAGACTCAGCTGTTTCAACCAAGCGTAGTTTACTTCTACCATAAACCTTCTTCTTCCTGTTTCCTCTTACTCCCTTCACTCCTCCAAGACTCACTCTCACCAATTCCTTTCATCTTTCTCCCAATCTCATCTCTGCCCCTTCTTCTTCATGTCAGCCTGTAAAATTTGGAACGGATTCCCTCTTTTTAGTCCTGATCCAATGCCCATTAAGACTCCCACTTATTCTGTTCCTCAGACTACCTTTTTCCTTCAAATACACTTTATGCAAAGACTTTCAGCTATAACATCTGCACCACCTCAACAAATACAATTTCCCAGTGCATTAAAAATGTCTGAACTATTTGATCTATTTCTAAACTACACTGTAAACTCTTTGGGGTAAGTGCTGTGTCTTCTTATATGACTGCACAGCTCTGGGTGCGCACAAAGCTCTCAAATAATAAAAAGAGAGGAAGGATAGTATTGCATTTAAGGCACTGGGACTCGAGAACTGGGTTCAGTTCCTGGCTGTGCCATACATTTTTGTGCAACTGTCCTGGGCAGAGATCCATCAAAATGCTTGTTATGAACATATATATCCAAAAGTGCAGAATTTGATCTTCAGCATTCAAGAGTAAAACTCTTCAAGCATACTTTCCTATTTGTTTAAGAACGGTAATGTATATGATTGAAACATTTGATTTATTGTGCTTATAGAGGAGGACCTTTACTCGGTGCACAGAGCCACATGTATAGACGCTTGAAGATTTTTCATTTTCTATGATTTGTCAAAGTAACTTTATAATCACGTGTATAACAAGCCTATTGCTTTGCCAAATCTGGCACCAGTCACACCATAGGCAACATGGGCGGGGAGATGGGGGGTCAAGTGTCACCCCAGATTTCTGCTTGGCCTGCCAAGGGGGAGGCAGAGGGGCTCCCTTCTCCAGCTGCACCTATCCCCCAATACACTCGGCCTCTGTCCCTGGCAACCGGGCCTGGGCGGACAGTGGAAGGGGTGGGGCCAGCCACTTCTCATGCCGGCCACTCCAGATCACTGCTCTGCGCCGTGTGGCGGCTGCCTGAGAAAGAGCCTGGCTGGGACGGTGGCCCTGCCCTCTCTGCTCCCCGCCTGGGCCCAGCTGCTGGAGACAGGGGACAAGCAAGTCAGAAACATGCTGGGGGGGGGGGAGGCACCGGCTCGCTCAGCCCATCCCCGGCAGCTGGGCCTGGGCAGGGAGCAGAGACTGTGGGGCAGGCTGCCGCCCCAGCCAGGCTCTTGCTCAGGAAGCCACCGCACTGCACAGAGTCAGCAACCCAGAGTAGCCAGCTTCAGCTGTGTGAGAAGTAGCTCCATCCTGCTCTCCAGGCCCGGCTGCCAGAGAGAACGGCTGAATGTGCCAGGGTGTGTGGAGCGGGGGGAGAGGCGCAGTGGGAGAAGGACAGAGCTCTTCCCTTCCCTGCCCCCTGCAGGAAACTCTGGCGGAGCAGGTAGAGTGCGGCGGCCCCAGGCTGGGCACAGGGCAGGGGGGTCACTGGGCAGAAGAGACACATGGGGAGTCACGTGTCCTCCCCTTTAGATTGTGCCCCCCCCCGTATTATCAAGAGGCACGAGTTGTCTATGAGTCACATATGCTGCCTAAGGGATGTTGTCTCCTAGCAACCACAAGAAAATGACCAGAAACCACTACCGCATAGTTCAAAGTCATGATTCCCAAAGTTCCAAGAACAAAAAATGTAAAGGGGAAATAAATGCAGGAAAACTTTTCATTTTATGATTACAAAAGATGTTTCAATGATTATACTGTCCTCACCCTTAACTCTTGTCCACTCTATGGAATATTTCCTTAAAATTCATTCTGCAGTGTTGGCACTAGAGTTTCAGCTCCACTGGTGCCATCAATAGTGGGAGCAATGGTATAGACAAAGCTCTGGTGTCAGCTAACATTTCAAAGCCCCGTGTTGCACAGACCTGCGCTGGGCAGGATTAGACAACACAATACTTAAAACATTGATAGCCACCTGGAGCCCTGGCTACATTAGGCCTCCCCTTGGTGCTAATCCAGAGCTGAAACAGTATAAGCAACCATGAAAATTTGGGGCCAAAAAAGCAAAGTGTAGACACCCCTTGAGGCAATACAAATATATTAATATTAGTAACTTTAAAGCAACCTTTTGGAACTGTTGCTCAAAACCAACACTTGATGTCTTATGTGTTTCTTATTAGTATAGATGATGTGATGGGTTTGGAGCTTCTCTGTGATAATTTATAAATACTGTATGTTGGCCTGGTTATTGGGTGTTTTGTAGTCATAGAGTTTAAGGCCAGAAGGGACCACCAGATCATCTAGTCTGACCTCCTGTATAACACAGGCCACCGATACCACCCGCACACTAAATCCAGCAACCAAAATTAGCCTAAAGTATTACAGTCTACAGGAGACTAGACTATTATGTGCCAAAGGCAGAGAACAGGAGGGATTGAGGTGCACCAATGCCCAAGGCCCCAGCAATGGCATGGAAATGATTACGTGAGATATACTCACATAATATGGCAAATGAGCCGCACCTAAATGGGGCAGAAGAAGATGAAAACCGACCTAGGTCACTGACCTGACCTGGAGGAACATTCCTTCCCAACTCCACATATGGTGATCAATTAGACTGGAGCATGTGAGCAAGAACTAGCTACCCAAGCACCTGAGAGAACGAGAATGCTTGGTGCCACCTCAGAGCCCTGACCCACCCAGTCCAGCATCCCATTTCCAGCGGTGGCCATCTCTGATGCTTCAAAGAAAGGCGAGAAAAGAGAAAAGAATACATTGGATTGGGGAATAAGAGGGAGAGTCCCTTCCTGACCCCACAGGTGGCTGGCTGAAAACCTGAAGCATGAGCTTTTGTGAACATAATATATAAACTGGAAGTGAGCCCCAGGGTTACTGGGCACTGCCCCCTACTATCACAAGCAACCCTGTCATAAAATCGCTGTCTCTTCACACTAATAAAGTTGTTTCCCCCCACAACTCTTACTGGGAGGTTGTTTAAGAATCTCACTCTACTGATGGGTTTCAAAGTAGCAACCGTGTTAGTCTGTATCTGCAAAAAGAACAGGAGTACTTGTGGCACCTTAGAGACTAACAAATTTATTTGAGCATAAGCTTTCGTGGGCTACAGCCCACTTTTTCAGATGCATAGAATAGAACACTGATGGTTATAAATCTTCTAATTTCCAGCCTGAATTTGTTCATGGCCAATGTATACCCATTTGTCTTGTGGCAACATTGTCTTTTGTCTTAAATAGCTCCTGGTATTCTCCCACCCTGGTATTCCTTCCCCTCCCCACTCCCACCCCTGCTGTTGCATTTATAGAGATAAATCATATCCCCTCTCAGACTTCTTTTTGCTAAACTAAACAAGAAAGGTTTCAGAGTAGCAGCCGTATTAGTCTGTATCGGCAAAAAGAACAGGAGTACTTGTGGCATCATAGAGACTAACAAATTTATTAGAGCATACCTAATCACATCAGCCATACCATCAGGGGCTCGTTCACCTGCACATCTACCAATGTGATATATACCATCATGTGCCAGCAATGCCCCTCTGCCATGTACATTGGCCAAACTGGACATCTCTACGCAAAAGAATTAATGGACACAAATCTGACATCAGGAATCATAATACTCAAAAACCAGTGGGAGAACACTTTAACCTGTCTGGCCATTCAATGACAGACCTGCGGGTGGCTATCTTACAACAGAAAAACTTCAAAAACAGACTCCAACGAGAGACTGCTGAGCTGGAATTGATATGCAAACTAGATACAATCAACTCAGGATTGAATAAGGACTGGGAATGGCTGAGCCATTACAAACATTGAATCTATCTCCCCTTGTAAGTATTCTCACACTTCTTATCAAACTGTCTGTACTGAGCTATCTTGATTATCACTTCAAAAGTTTTTTTCTCTTACTTAATTGGCCTCTCAGAGTTGGTAAGACAACTCCCACCTGTTCATGCTCTCTGTATGTGTGTATATATATCTCCTCAATATATGTTCCACTCTATATGCATCCGAAGAAGTGGGCTGTAGCCCACGAAAGCTTATGCTCTAATAAATTTGTTAGTCTCTAAGGTGCCACAAGTACTCCTGTTCTTTAAACAAGAAAGCTCTTCCAATCTCCACTCGTAAGATAGGTCTTCCATTTCCCTGATCATTCCAGTAGTTCGTCTCTGCACCTCTTCCATTTTGAATTCATCCCTCCTGAACATGGATTTTCTGTACGACTATATTGTTTTAATGCAACGGGAGTCTGGCAAAATATGCAGGAAAGAAAAGAATGGCTCAAGATGCCACCTCTTGGCAAACATACACGAGTTGTTAAGGGGCAATGACAAAACTATTTGTGCTTTGATGATTCTGCCTCTGTCTTCAGCAAACCTACAAAGCTGGTTTTGATCACAGGAGGAAAAGGCCCGCAAACAAAGAAGAACAAAAGAACAATAGCAGGAATAAAAAGAGTCACTCTCTCAAGAAAGAGGCACTAGTTATTCAGGGAAGAAGAAGGTGGGGGGGGGAAACCAGACCTATTCAAAAGATCCCACTGAAAAAGATAGGCCTGCCTAGGGTACCAATAGGGATTGTAAGTCTTTAGATAAGATAGACATGTGTGTAGAGTGTTTATTGTTTTTTTTAAAAAAAAATCTTTAAAAGCTTTGTTGCCACTGCACAAAAAAACAATAAGGTTGTTTGGTCACAGATTCCAGAAGGGAAGAACTGCATAAGCCCTGAACTGTGTCGGACCTTCTGGGTAAGCACCGTAAACAAACAGGATACTGTAGCCCAGGGTCTGGGCTAAGAGTGGGAGAACTGCTGAATTTCACCCCAAGACAGGTAAAGGCAGGAGGCCTGACATCTGAGGAGGTGCACTGATAGAGACCAGAAAAGAGACAGAGGTGCAGCTAGACCTTTAACAGTGACAGATGAATACAAAACATATTTACCCTATCTGCAAATGGCAAAAATGTGTATTCAGATGGTGACATAAATAAATGTATTTTAAAGGGATCAAGTCTGCAAACAATTTGTGCATGGAACTCTAATTTATGTCAAAAGCTCTTTTATGTATGGAGGTCAAGATTGTGTCAAAGTGTGTAGTCATTTTACCAAGGAGACGCTGAAAGATATATTAGATGTCCATGTTCTACCTGAAGCACAGACTGAATTCTTTACTACACAGAAACAGCTTTAACAGATATGGCTAAAATGCAACTACAAGGATTTTGTTATAAATCTAAATAATTTTTTAAAAGTAAAAAACTGTATTAAAATCATAGTGCCAATCTCTGAGATGGCCCTTTTTGCACTCATGTAAACTCAAGGGAGGGGGATTCCCTGATTCTGGAGTTATAGGATCAGCACCAAGACGTAATTTAGAACAGCTGATAATGGGCTCTGAGAAGCTCTTTTAGAAGTTGAGGATCTCTTAGTCATAGGGATACCCTCGTCATAGGAACACCCCAGTCATACCCACAAACACAGTGCCACTGTGTCAGGTCTATGCCCTCTCAGGACTCCCCTGACAAAGGAGAATCAGGGAGCCAGTTATATCACCAGAGCAGCACAAATCAGCCATAGCCAGGCAGGACTCAGGATGACAGATCTTAAATATGCCCACCCAAAGACTGCCTAAGCAGCACTTACATAATACAGTGATAGGTGCTAGAGAAGACCCTAGAATACAATAGATAAGAGTAAATTAATATACAGTTCATCAACCAACATCACACTATAACCTACCTTCCTTTCCACATTAAAAAGTAGAGACTTACCATTCTTACTGATTATCACTGTGATAAAATAGAATAACTTAAGTGTACACTCTAATGCCTCTAAATTATATACTTTTTAAATGATTAATAGGTTTACTTCAAGCTTTCAGAATATATCTCTGCTAGCTGAGACTAAACATGAAAAATTTCACGTTAAAAAGTCAGAGGTGGTTTTGTAAAAAGGAAGAGGCATAGGCTTAAAATGGAAATTGTCTCACTACTAAAATTATGGAGACACTAACATGGTGCCATAATTACAAGCATTACTGGCTCTGTTCTACCTCCTCACCACCTTTCATTCTATTTTATCCCTCTTGGTTCTCTTCTTAGCTTTACTTTTTCTGTCATGCCTTTTTTTTCCCCTCTGCTGCTATAAACATCTTATTGGTAGATAATGGATGATCCCATGTGAGACTGGAACATCAATGGCAAATCTGACAAACACCTACCAGGGCCGGCTCCAGGTACCAGCCCAGCAAGCAGGTGCTTGGGGTGGCCAACGGAAAAGGAAGGACCTGCCACCGAATTGCTGCCAAAGAATGAAGCGGCAGCTGTAGAGCTGCCGGCCTTGACACCTACTCATCTCTCTTTTTTCTTTCCCTTCTTTCTTTTCTCTTATCCAGTCCTCACTCAGACTGTTATTAAAAGATACATTGGAACATTATCCAGCTCCCCCTCTATTTCTCTTCTCCTACCCTATGCCATACCGAACCACATATCATACCTCTGGTAGCAGATTCCAATAGCTTGATAGATCTCACTATTTCTTGGATTACTCAATGAAGCCTCTTTAAAGTCCTGAAAAAAAAGATACTCAATTATATATGTTTGTATTGTTTTGTTTCGCTTCAATAACGTGGCCTTAGCAAATCAAATTTTTATCAACAAGGGGATGAAACCTAAACAAGAACACAGTATGTTTTCAGTAGAACTGGAGAGTTAATGACTAACTGTTTTCCATTCCATAATTAATACTCAGGGTCTTGGGGGAACATAGCCTTTCTAGTCAGACAATATATTTGATATCTGGGTATTTCCTACAGAGCTGGATACAATATTACTTCCAGTATTTTTTATAGAAACACCTATATAATTGCAATTAAATATACATATTAAAGGGTATGTTATTTTCTGATACACAATCTCATTAAAAAATCCAGTAATAAAAACATAACCTTTTTTCATTCCCTTCTGCTAATGTATTTATAAACAAGTAAACTGAAGTAGTTTAAAAATAAATGATAGGATTAAACTGAGTGATTCTTTGATTAGAGTATCCTGTTCATAATCTTCCAGCTAAAGATGTGTCAATATTTCTATTATAAATCACTAGTTTAGAGATTTCTAACTCTTCTTTTAACCAAAATTTGGAATACCTTGTCTGTGTGGTTTTGATATAAGAGATTTAAAAGGAAAACGCAGTTTGGATGTTTCTGATATGGGGAAAACATCTTTTAACTTTATAATAAGGAAGTAGTTTAAGTCCTTGCAAGGGAAAGTAGGCTTTATACAGTCTACAACACCTCCCGTCAACATATAGAGACAGGAACAGTTTGGCTTTGCAACAGCACTTGTACTGATGCACTCAATGGAAAAATAGTTTAGAGGGTATTTTCTAGCTCTTCAAATGGAAAAAATAAATATCTCACTCTCTATAGAGATTTAGTGTTCAAGAGACTATAACATTGGCCTGATATTGTAATGAGATGTACACATATGTACAGAAATGTCCTACAGTAACTCCTCACTTAACGTTGTAGTTATGTTCTTGAAAAATGCGACTTTAAGCGAAATGATGTTAAGTGAATCCAATTTCCCCATAAGAATTAATGTAAATGAGGGAGTTAGGTTCCAGGGAATTTTTTTTCACCAGACAAAAATATATATATTTTATATTTATATATATATATATATACACACACACACACACAGTATAAGTTTTAAACAAACAATTAATACTGGTACACAGTGATGATGATTGTTAAGCTTGGTTGAGGTGGAGGAATCAGAGGGTGGGATATTTTCCAGGGAATGCCTTATTGCTAAATGATGAACTAGCAATTGGCGGAGACCTCAAGGGTTAACTCTCACAGTCTACAAGGCAGCAGGAATGGAGGGAGGGAAGAGAGCATCGCAGACAGAGAGAGACACACACACTGTGTGTATGAGAGAGAGAGATGCGCATTTCCCCTTTAAGTACACTGCCTTGTTAATTAGATCGGCTTGCTGAGACCGCAGCTGCTGCTGCCAGCAAGCTCCCTCTGTCCTGAGCCCTGTCGTGTGTCCCCCCGCTATATGGAGAATGGGGTAAGCGGGGTGCAGGAGCAGGGGGACACCCTGACATTAGCCCCCCTCTTCCCTCTCTCCCTCCTGCACAGCAAGCAGGAGTCTTGGGGAGCCGCTCCAAGGCAGAGGGCAGGAGCAGCACATGGCAGTGGGGGGAGGGACAGCTGCAATTTTGCTAGCCTGTTGAGCAGCTGCTGCACAGGGAATTTAGGGGAGCGGGGAGCTGACGGGGGGCTGCCGGTCCACCCTGGTTCCAAGCTCCCACCAGCTAGCTGCAACGGGCTGCTCTTCCTGCAAGCAGTGGACAAAGCAGGCGGCTGCCAAACGACATTAGAAGGGAGCATTGCACAACTTTAAACGAGCATGTTCCCTAATTGATCAGCAACGTAACAATGAAACAACGTTAACCGGGATGACTTTAAGTGAGGAGTTACTGTACTATGTTAGTACAAACCTCTCTTTTGTAGTGACAATTTTATTTTACTTGTGTAACTAAAATATTGTAAAATAAAGGCCCACTCCATACAGGGCTGGACATTCTGTCCCAACCTACCAAAGCACTTAAACGTGTTTAGCTGTAAGCACACAAATAGTTCTAATGAAGTCAATGGCACTGCTCACATTACTAATTTTGCGCACATGCTAACTGATTGCTGGATCACGACACTTACCTTCACAGATCCAGTAACCACTCCAAACACACCAAGAGACCTGTTATCTACAGCCAGGCACTCACATACCACAGATTGTGCTCCAAGAAGAGAGTCTGGGATACACACCTTAACACATTTAAAACTGCCTTCACCAAACAAGGACACTCCACCAGAGAAGTAGATTGCATCATGGAACAGGCCACCCAATTACCCCAAGACAACATGCCTCAAGACGGGGGGGGGGGGGGGGGGGGAACCTCCAACCACACACCCCTAGTTGTCACCTACCAACCCACACTGGAACCCATACAAGGTATCATTAAGTAATTACAATCCATACTCTATGGGGACCACATCCTAAAAGAAATCTTTCCTGAACCCCCCGTCCTCTGGCCTTCAAACCACTCCCTTACCTTGCCAAATCCATCAAAAGAAGCAAGCTCCCCACAGACCAAGACACATCAACACAAAGCAGCATCAAACCCTGACACAACACATGCAAAACCTGCAGACATATCTTCACTGCTACTATGATCAACACTCCCCACAACACACCTTTCAAGATGCCTGGGCCTACACATGCCTATCACAACCTGTGATGTACCTCATCTAGTTCACTAAATGCCACAATAACAACAACTATTTGGGTGAAACCAATCACTACGCCGTTGAATGAACTCACATAGAAAAATGATAAAAAGACCATATCAACTGTGGGCAAACACTTTTCAAAAACCATTACTCCATATCTGATCTAGCAATCGTCATCCTCAAAAGAAACCTGCACAATGCCTTCAAAAGATAGGCCTGAGAGCCTAAATTCATAACTTTGCTAGACACTAAAAATCATGGTCTTAATAAAGACACTGGATTTATGGCTTATTACAATAATCTGTAACCTATTAACTTCTCCTCCCCCTTTTTTGTCCTATGACTGCAGAGGTTTTAACAAGCCACTTCACCTTGATTGGTCTCTTACAATATGTGTTAACTACTTTGATAAACAATCTGTTCCAAGGTGTGTGTAGTTATGACACTCTGAGTACCTTTCCCAGACCTGAAGAAAAGATTTGTGTAGCTCAAAAGCTTCTCTCTTTCACTTTCACCAACAGAAGTTGCTCCAACAAAAAGTATTACCTCATCCACCTTGTCTCTCTTGCTAGATCATGGCAGAAAATATCTTCCAGAATTGAGCCCTAAAAGATTACCTCCTGACACAACAGCCATAATACATGTGGGTGCTCTGAAAGCTCCTCCCAGCAGCACACTAACAAAACTGATTTGTACACCAGATTCTCTAAATTATATGTAGGAAGAACATAATCTTGTGAAAATATTTAGCTACATGGGATGCATTAGGATTTTGAGTCTCTAACGTTCAACTCTCATTTTGTAAATCAGTCTTCTCTAAAATTCATTCAGGAGTTAACACTTTTTCCTGATCATGTTGGTTCTACCCCATTACTATGAGTCCCTATTCTCCTTTCAGGAACCCCTTCACATCAAAATATGTACCATCTGAGTCTCTCCATTGAGCCTCTCTGACGAATTACATTTTGTAGCATAAGACAGAGATCTATACAGTAATTGTTCTGGTTCAGCTGTTTCTATGCAAGGTCTATCAAGTGTGAAGGGCTTTTTCCATGCATTTCTAGTGGGACATTTCTGGATCATCACAAAGGTACCCGTCTTCATTTTTGCATCTACGTAGGATATCTATCTTTGAAACATAAACTACCCAATTTTGCAGTGTGCCCATGCTGAAATCATTGCTGTCACATGAACAAAAAAATTCAAAGCCTAAAGTTACCCATCCAAAATAAAAACACAAACAATACTGAGAAAAGTATTCCTTCTAAGTCATAACAAATGAAGGCTTTTGAGAAATTATACTTTAAGAATGAAAAATGGTATCTATGAGACTATTTAATATGTTTAAGCCTCAGTCCAGCTATTGTTTTGCAGGCAGAACTCGCAATGAATAAGAGGGGAGTCTGGATTATGGATCAATGACAAGATTGCAATCCTTTTTCTGAGAACCTGAAGAAAAAAACTCAGGACCCGAGTCTCCTGTAACTTTAACCTTGAGTGGTCATTTCACCTTGTGCAAAGAGAATGTAAAACAAAATCAAATCAGAATCCTCCATTCACTTACACCTGTGGCATCGGCTTACACTCACCTTGTATAAACAGAAAATGATTATTCAAGGTGCAAGGCAGTGGAGGCAGGCATTCACTTTTTAACTTAATATACAACTTGCATATTTTGATCCTGGTTCTTGTTTACACTTTTCAGAGTAGCAGCCGTGTTAGTCTGTATCCGCAAAAAGAACAGGAGTACTTGTGGCACCTTAGAGACTAACAAATTTATTAGAGCATAAGCTTTCGTGGGCTACAACCCACTTCTTCGGATGCATATTGAGTGAAACATATCGAGGAGATATATATACACACATACAGAGAGCATGAACAGGTGGGAGTTGTCTTACCAACTCTGAGAGGCCAATTAAGTAAGAGAAAAAAAACTTTTGAAGTGATAATCAAGGTAGCCAAGTACAGACAGTTTGATAAGAAGCAAGTGTGAGAATACTTACAAGGGGAGATAGATTCAATGTTTGTAATGGCTCAGCCATTCCCAATCCCTATTTAGCCCTGAGTTGATTGTGTCTAGTTTGCATATCAATTCCAGCTCAGCAGTCTCTCGTTGGAGTCTGTTTTTGAAGTTTTTCTGTTTTAAGATAGCCACCCGCAGGTCTGTCATAGAATGGCCAGACAGGTTAAAGTGTTCTCCCACTGGTTTTTGAGTATTATGATTCCTGATGTCAGATTTGTGTCCATTAATTCTTTTGCTTAGAGACGTCCAGTTTGGCCAATGTACATGGCAGAGGGGCATTGCTGGCACATGATGGCATATATCACATTGGTAGATGTGCAGGTGAACGAGCCCCTGATGGTATGGCTGATGTGATTAGGCCCTATGATGGTGTCACTTGAATAGATATGTGGACAGAGTTGGCATCGGGCTTTGTTACAAGGATAGGTTCCTGGGTCAGTGTTTTTGTTCAGTGATGTGTGGTTGCTGGTGAGTATTTGCTTTAGGTTCGGGGGTTGTCTGTAAGCAAGGACAGGTCTGTCTCCCAAGATCTGTGAGAGTAAAGGATCATCTTTCAGGATAGGTTGTAGATCTCTAATGATGCGCTGGAGAGGTTTTAGTTGGGGGCTGAAGGTGACAGCTAGTGGTGTTCTGTTATTTTCTTTGTTGGCCCTGTCTTGTAGGAGGTGACTTCTGGGTACTCGTCTGGCTCTGTCAATCTGTTTTTTCACTTCAGCAGGTGGGTATTGTAGTTTTAAGAATGCTTGATAGAGATCTTGTAGGTGCTTGTCTCTATCTGAGGGATTGGAGCAAATGCGGTTATATCTTAGAGCTTGGCTGTAGACAATGGATCGTGTGGTGTGTCCTGGATGGAAGCTGGAGGCATGTAGGTAAGTGTAGCGGTCAGTAGGTTTCCGGTACAGGGTGGTATTTATGTGACCATCGCTTATTAGCACAGTAGTGTCCAGGAAATGGACCGCTTGTGTGGATTGATCTAGGCTGAGGTTGATGGTAGGATGGAAATTATTGAAATCATGGTGGAATTCCTCAAGGGCTTCTTTTCCATGGGTCCAGATGATGAAGATGTCATCAATGTAGCGCAAGTAGAGTAGGGGCGTTAGGGGACGAGAGCTAAGGAAGCGTTGTTCTAAGTCCGCCATAAAAATGTTGGCATACTGTGGGGCCATGCGGGTACCCATAGCAGTGCCGCTGACTTGAAGGTATATATTGTCCCCAAATGTGAAATAGTTGTGGGTGAGGACAAAGTCACAGAGTTCAGCCACCAGATTAGCTGTGACATTATCGGGGATACTGTTCCTGATAGCTTGTAGTCCATCTTTGTGTGGAATATTGGTGTAGAGGGCTTCTACGTCCATAGTGGCCAGGATGGTGTTTTCTGGAAGATCACCGATGGATTGTAGTTGCCTCAGGAAGTCAGTAGTATCTCGAAGATAGCTGGGAGTGCTGGTAGCGTAGGGTCTGAGGAGAGAGTCCACATAACCAGACAAGCCTGATGTTAGGGTGCCAATGCCTGAGATGATGGGGCGTCCAGGATTTCCAGGTTTATGGATCTTGGGTAGCAAATAGAATGTCCCTGGTCGGGGTTCTAGGCATGTATCTGTACAGATTTGTTCCTGTGCTTTGTCAGGGAGTTTTTTTAGCAGATGGTGTAGTTTCTTTAGGTAATCCTCAGTGGGATCAGAGGATAATGGCTGGTAGAATGTGGTGTTAGAGAGCTGTCTAGCAGCCTCTTGGTCATATTCCAATTTATTCATGATGACGACAGCACCTCCTTTGTCAGCCTTTTTGATAATGATGTCAGGGTTGTTTCTGAGGCTGTAGATGGCGTTGTGTTCAGCATGGCTGAGGTTATGGGGCAAGTGATGTTGCTTATCCACAATTTCAGCCTTTTCAGAGGTATGTTGGAAATATTCTTTGAGTCGGAGACGTCGAAAGTAGGATTCTAGGTCACCGCAGAACTGTATCATGTTCGTGGGTCTGGAGGGACAAAAGGAGAGGCCCCGAGATAGGACAGACTCTTCTGCTGGGCTAAGAGTATAGCTGGAAAGGTTAACAATATTGCTGGGTGGGTTAAGGGAACTACTGTTGTGGCTCCAACATACCTCTGAACAGCATACTAACCCACAGAATCCCCCCTACCAGCACTCCAAAAAAAAGGATTCTGCGTGGACTCCTCCGGACGGTCGTAACAACAGACTGGATTTCTACATAGATTGCTTCCGTCAACGTGCAAAGGCTGGTTATGTGGACTCTCTCCTCAGACCCTACGCTACCAGCACTCCCAGCTATCTTCGAGATACTACTGACTTCCTGAGGAAACTACAATCCATCGGTGATCTTCCAGAAAACACCATCCTGGCCACTATGGACGTAGAAGCCCTCTACACCAATATTCCACACAAAGATGGACTACAAGCTATCAGGAACAGTATCCCCGATAATGTCACAGCTAATCTGGTGGCTGAACTCTGTGACTTTGTCCTCACCCACAACTATTTCACATTTGGGGACAATATATACCTTCAAGTCAGCGGCACTGCTATGGGTACCCGCATGGCCCCACAGTATGCCAACATTTTTATGGAGGACTTAGAACAACGCTTCCTTAGCTCTCGTCCCCTAACGCCCCTACTCTACTTGCGCTACATTGATGACATCTTCATCATCTGGACCCATGGAAAAGAAGCCCTTGAGGAATTCCACCATGATTTCAATAATTTCCATCCTACCATCAACCTCAGCCTAGATCAATCCACACAAGCGGTCCATTTCCTGGACACTACTGTGCTAATAAGTGATGGTCACATAAATACCACCCTGTACCGGAAACCTACTGACCGCTACACTTACCTACATGCCTCCAGCTTCCATCCAGGACACACCACACGATCCATTGTCTACAGCCAAGCTCTAAGATATAACCGCATTTGCTCCAATCCCTCAGATAGAGACAAGCACCTACAAGATCTCTATCAAGCATTCTTAAAACTACAATACCCACCTGCTGAAGTGAAAAAACAGATTGACAGAGCCAGACGAGTACCCAGAAGTCACCTCCTACAAGACAGGGCCAACAAAGAAAATAACAGAACACCACTAGCTGTCACCTTCAGCCCCCAACTAAAACCTCTCCAGCGCATCATTAGAGATCTACAACCTATCCTGAAAGATGATCCTTTACTCTCACAGATCTTGGGAGACAGACCTGTCCTTGCTTACAGACAACCCCCGAACCTAAAGCAAATACTCACCAGCAACCACACATCACTGAACAAAAACACTGACCCAGGAACCTATCCTTGTAACAAAGCCCGATGCCAACTCTGTCCACATATCTATTCAAGTGACACCATCATAGGGCCTAATCACATCAGCCATACCATCAGGGGCTCGTTCACCTGCACATCTACCAATGTGATATATGCCATCATGTGCCAGCAATGCCCCTCTGCCATGTACATTGGCCAAACCGGACAGTCTCTACGCAAAAGAATTAATGGACACAAATCTGACATCAGGAATCATAATACTCAAAAACCAGTGGGAGAACACTTTAACCTGTCTGGCCATTCTATGACAGACCTGCGGGTGGCTATCTTAAAACAGAAAAACTTCAAAAACAGACTCCAACGAGAGACTGCTGAGCTGGAATTGATATGCAAACTAGACACAATCAACTCAGGGCTAAATAGGGATTGGGAATGGCTGAGCCATTACAAACATTGAATCTATCTCCCCTTGTAAGTATTCTCACACTTGCTTCTTATCAAACTGTCTGTACTTGGCTACCTTGATTATCACTTCAAAAGTTTTTTTTCTCTTACTTAATTGGCCTCTCAGAGTTGGTAAGACAACTCCCACCTGTTCATGCTCTCTGTATGTGTGTATATATATCTCCTCGATATGTTTCACTCAATATGCATCCGAAGAAGTGGGTTGTAGCCCACGAAAGCTTATGCTCTAATAAATTTGTTAGTCTCTAAGGTGCCACAAGTACTCCTGTTCTTGTTTACACTGCGGCCATTTTACACCACTCTGGCAGTGTAAAGGTGCTACAAAAAGAGTGTAACTGTCATTTATGCCCATGCTGATGTAACACTGACAGACCCCAGTCGTCGGCGGGCAGGATTGAACCTGGGACCTCCGGAGCTAAATGCATGAGTCTCTACTAGATGAGCTAAAAGACTAGATGAGCTTAGCCAAGGCTGTAGCAGGCTAATTAATCTCTAAGTGGTCTCGGTGCCACAAGATGGGACAGAACACCACACCCAGAAGGTGTGTGGGTTGCACAAACTCTCTACACTGCCACATTGTTGTAAAGAGGCCATAGTGTAAATGAGAAGTAGGCCTTTAGTACTTTAGGATTTATCTACACTAGAAATGCTACAGTGGAACAGACACTTACTACAGTGACGGAATAGGTTCTTCCATCACTACAGTAAATCCACTTCTTCAAGAGATGGCAGCTAGATTGATGAAAGAATTCTTCTGTCAACCTAGAAGTGTCTACACCAGGATTTAGATCGGCTTAATTACATTGCACAGGGCGTGAAATTTTTCACAGCCCTGAACAATGTAGTTAAGCCGACCGAATTTTGTAGTGTAGATCTGCCCTTAGAAATACTGCTAAATTTGCAGGTTATTCTTCATGTCAGCTATATGTGTCATAAAATAAACATGAAATGTGAAAGAGAATCTTATACCTCTAATGCATTAGAGTAGTCTTCCAGTTCCACATAGAGTAGTGCACGGTTAATTAACACTGTCAAGACAATTTCCTTACTCGATTCAAGAAGAAGAAGAATTCCATAGTCTTTCAAAGCCTAAAAAAAAATTAAAAATATTTAATTTTACTGAGAAGCATACAATGATACTTAAGTTTACAATCTAAAGTTCCAATCCTGCAAACACTTATGTCTTATTTTAAGTACCTGAGTAGTCCTACTGATTTCAGTGTGACTACTCAGATGCTAAAAGTTAAGCACATACTATATTTAAATGTTTGCAGGACCAGGGCCTAAATAATAAAGAGGAACACAATACAGCAATTATTTTCTTCTCACAGTGTTGCCTATTCCTCTCTGTACTTAGATATACCCCTGTCTGCAGAACACAATAGCACAGAGACTAAGTCTGCATTGAGGCTACAAAAGTTTTATGTTTAGAAATAAAACTGCTATTCTTTCTGTATCTAATTTGGTCTTTCCCATATTCGTGTTTAAATTGTATTTTATTTTTTTAACTTCATTTTAGATGCATCAAGCATTTTTAATATAAAGTTAAGAAACTTCTGAAAATTAAATGTCTCAAAACCTAATTTAAGACTACTGGAAAGTCTTATTAGTCTAGTTTTATTAACTAAATCTCAGTCGAGAGCACAATGGCATGAATAAGTGGAATGGAAATGCAGGTATCAATTCACAAACTTATCAAAGTTGGACAGTATCTCACCAACCCTAAATCGGAAAATAAAGTAGATGCCTTAAGTCAAGTGATAACTAGTGTGGGAAAATTAGGACAGTTTAGGCCTTCATATCATGAAAGGCTTCCTGATAGTATTAGGCTGTACAATAGTCTCCCAGGGGAAGTCCTACTGCTAGTGATATTTAAAACTAGACTAAGCAAACATTGGATTCATCTAAAAGGTCTTTTCCATCCCTAACTCCTGTGAGTCTACGTGAGTTGATGGGTCAGCTCCACTCTCACCACTATTTCTGCCACTTCCTAATGCCTATTGGGATGGGCTTCAAGGACTGGAATGGTGATTCAACAAGAAAAATTCTGTAGTCCCTTAGAGGTGAGGGATGGGGACTGAGGTGTCTCTGGGTAGCAAAGAGAATTGGGGGGAGAAGGCCAGACTGAAGACCTGTAGGCTGGAACAGGTATTGGAGAAGCCTTAAGAGGCAAATAAGTATAGCAGGGAGCTCAGGGTAGTAATGTTTTGGCACCTTTAGAAGCTATATAGGGGTAACACAGTTCCCTCTGGAGCGAAAAGATCTGCAGGGAGGAAGTAATCAAGCAAAAGGCTCTGTGGGGCTGTTGACACCCAAGTCCCAACTCTATGGTGATGAAGTCCCAACCCCACCTCTGTGGAGATGCCATCTGTCTTTTTCCCAAATGAAGTAGGTTTTGTGGAGCTTCTGTCCCAATCCTGCTCCTCTGAGCAACGGATAAAGACAGGGCCACAGAGGACCAGGACTAGATCAATCCCACAAGATAGAGATGGGCTCAAATTTTTACAGTACCCATTACTGCCTTAATCTTGCCTTGTTCTGCTTCTATGCTCCCCTTCTTTCTTTCCCCTTTCTGAACTCCCCTGCAAGATTTTGGTGGGTGGGTGAGTGGGTGGGCGGGCGTGTGTGTGTGTGTGATACACATATCACAGCAGAAATGCATAATTCTGAACAACACTACATCCTGAAATAAGCACTGCAAATGTTAGTGATATAAAGGCCAGATTTTCAACCTGACCTTCACTGAGTAAATTTATTGTCATGTATACATCCAAGTACCTGATTTTACCCACAAAACAAGTTCTTAGATCTTCAACTGACAGCAATGCAGTTGTAAAGGATTGTTGATGCAAAAAGGAAAGCTTGCTACTAATGTTCAGAAACAGTTTATTAGCATTTCTGAATAACTGCATAATCAAGTGCTCTTGAATAGAAGGATATAATACCTTTCTAAAGTCCTTTATTTGGTGATAACAGATAGCTCTGTTGTAATATGCCAAAATGCAGATTTTGTCCAAGTCAATAGTTTTGGTTAAGTCTTCAATGGCATTTTTGTATGTCTGCACATAAAAAACATTGCATATAAAAACACTGTATAATTCACAGCATCATATGTTCTGTCCTAAAGAACACAATAGTGTAAAATTTGACCATACAGTTTTACATTTCTTGTCTCTTCATCAGTACTGGAAGGCATTCTATCAGTTTGTCAATATGGGCCAATTATTGCAGTCTTCCCTTAGGTAGGATTTCTACTGATTTCTATGGGATTTTGACTGGACCAAGACTGCACAACTGAGCCTTATTACTTTATGTTTTTGTCATTGTCATGCTTGTATTACTTAGTCAATCATTAATGTTATCTAGCTATATTATTCTTTACCCTCTCTTTGACCCTTTCATGATCACTTTGTATCATCTCCTAACATGGATGGTAGTTTATTATCAGGGCCGACTCTGGCTTTTTGGCCGCCCCAAGCAAAACAAAAAAACAAACAAAAAAAACCTGCGGCGCGGCTGGAGCATGGGTGCAGGGGAACCGGCTGCGGGGGGGGAGGCGGAGGGAGTGGGCGGGAGAGAGAGAGAAGGGGGCGGCCAGGGCTACAGCAGGGGCGCTGCCACGCGGCCCCTCCCGCTGCGCTGCCGCCTGCCGCGAGGGCTCCGCTCCGGTCGGCGGGGAGAGAAGGAAGAGTACTGCCCTGCCAGGCGCTCTGGTTCTCCGCGCCGCCGCCCCCTACAGGGCGGCCGGAGCGGAACAAAAAAGAAAAAAGGGGAGGGCCGTGCCACCCTAGGATTGGGCAGAATGCCGCCTCCAACAATCTGCCGCCCCAAGCACCAGCTTGCTCAGCTGGTGCCTGGAGCCGGCCCTGTTTATTATGGAGCTGCAGTTGCTCCTGTGGCCAAATTCACTTATGGGAGCTTCCTCCATGGGTCCTGGAGAGGTAAAATCGAGATAAATCTAGCTAGCTTAGCCAACCCAATCCACTGCACCCTTTCCAGAACCTCAGAGTCCCCCACAAAGTGGCTTCCAAGGCACTGGGGAAACTGGAAGTATGCTATATTGGTGGAATTCCCCACAAGCCTGGGTAGCATTGATCTTTTAGCTCTTTCTACAGGTGAATAACAAAAATATTTCATGTACTTCATCCAAAAGATAAAATACGTCTCTACCTTATTGTGATATTTCAAAGTTCCTCTGTAGAGATAGGCTCTCACACTGTCAGGATGAATTTTGATAGCCTCGTTACAATTCAGAATGGCCTTGGAGTATCTTCCCTTGCTACCATAGTAAGCAGCACGACTTAAATATGCCTTTATAGATGAAGACAGAAACATGTTGCAGTACAAGTACTAAAAAAACTTTGATAATACCTTGGACAACCACTGAGTAAAGGTAAGAAATGACTTTTTTCATAAAGAACTTAAAACATCTAAGTATAGTGGTCATAAAACCAAGCAAATTAAATGAACACTGGGTACCTTGGTTATAATAATGGAAAACAACATGAATATTGAAACAAGAAATAACTTATATTCCATTAGAATATCAAATGCAGAAAAATGATCTTTGGAATTCAAAAAGTAAAAAACAAAAACGAAAGGAAGGACACAAATAAAACAGACTTTAACAAAACAATACTAATGATGTCCAAGTCATCCCTTAAAGGGAAACTACTAAGCTGTTTAAGAACAAAAATGACCATTTAGAAATTGTTATTGTGACTCAGGCAGACCAAGCACCAGCTCATGCTAAGGTCCCCATGTCTCAAATGAACACTGACAGATAAATAGCTGGAATCTCTCTGGCTCACTTGTGGGTTAATATTAATATGATAAATATTAGAATGATAAGAAAGTGCTTAGTGTTTGGACTCTGTCCAATGCTTATGAGTTGCTGCATGCACTGATCTTCCTTGTAATATCTGTATTCCATATTGTAATGTAGTATGTGAAAGGGTGTAGTGGGAGCCTCTGTGACTCTGGCCTGGTCTACACTAACCCCCCCACTTCGGACTAAGGTACGCAAATTCAGCTACGTTAATAACGTAGCTGAATTCGAAGTACCTTAGTCCGAAGTTACCGCGGTCCAGACGCGGCAGGAAGGCTCCCCCGTCGATGCTACGTACTCCGCTCGCCAAGCTGGAGTACCAGCATCGACGGCGAGCACTTCCGGGATCGATCCGGGGCACTTCCGGGATCGATCCAGGATCGATTTATCGCGTCTTAACCAGACGCGATAAATCGAACTCAGAAAACCGATTGCTTACATCCGGACCCAGCTGTAAGTGAAGACGTACCCTCTATGAATCACCATACAGGAGAGGGACATTAATTAGTGCGAAGAGCTGCTCTTCTATAGAAATCATTATGCCCCTCTCAAAAGAGGAGCCCTATGGACACCAGACAGGCTACGATTGGCTCTTACAACTGGACACTCCCTATATCTGGATTGAGGAATCGTCAACAAAAGGACTAAAGATTTATTGTTGTTCTGTTCTCCTCCCTGTGAAGATGAGTCATGCAAGTGAACTCCTCCCACCAGCTGAGTTTTGCAGCTGAGAGCATATGGCAGGACAGGAATCAAAACCACAAGCAAAAGGAACTAAGGATCTCTATGTTGCTGGGACTCTGAGGGACAATGAGGTTTCTAGGCATAGATATCATCAACCATTAGCATGGATTAACCCTAAAGGACAAAAAGAGCATGCTGATTAAAAGAGCCTCTATCACCTTTTAAAACCTACGACTGTAATTCATTTGTGTGTCTGTATTTGCTTGCTTTAATCTTGTAAATAACACTCTAGTTACCTTTTTCCTATTTAATAAATCTACATATAGTTTATTATAGGATTGGTTACAAGCTTTGTCCTTTGTGTGAGATCTAAGGCACAAATGATCTGGGGTAAATGACTGGTTCTTTGGGACTAGGCATAACCTCAATATTGCCGTGATTCTTGGTCTTAAGGGCCATATATAACAGATGTGACAGACCCAGACCAGTGGGGTACAGGAGTCTGGTAGAGGGCAAATATACTGGTCACTGGATGAGTAGTTTTCTGTTCCCTGAGTGACCAGAGCAGGGGCTGCACTAGAGTAATCAGGAACCTGCTAGAACCAGTTAAGGCAGGCAGGCTAATTAGGACACCTGGAGCCAATTATGAAGAAGCTGCTAGAATCAATTAAGGCAGGCTAATCAGGGCACCTGGGTTTTAAAAGGAGCTCTCTTCAGGTTGTGGTGTGAGTGTGAGGAGCTGGGAGCAAGAGGCGCAAGGAGCTGAGAGTGAGAGGGTGTGCTGCCGGAGGACTGAGGAGCACAAGCGTTATCAGACACCAGGAGGAAGATCCTGTGGTGAGAATAAGGAAGGTGTTTGGAGGAGGCCATGGGGAAGTAGCCCAGGGAGTTGTAGCTGTCATGCAGCTGTTACAGGAGGCACTATAGACAGCTGCAGTCCACAGGGCCCTGGGCTGGAACCCAGAGTAGAGGGTGGGCCCAGGTTTCCCCCAAACCTCCCAATTGACCTGGACTGTGGGTTCTCCCAGAGGGGAAGGTCTCTGGGCTGTTCCCCAACCCACATGGTGAATCTCTGAGGCAAGAAAATCCGCCAATAAGCGCAGGACCCACCAAGATAGAGGAGGAACTTTGTCACACTGGTGTCAGGAGTGGCATCTTGGGGGGCACAGCGCGGCGGAAGAAGGAGGGTGATTAAAAAAAAAACACAAACAAAAAAAAGAGAGGGTTTATTTTTTTTTCACCACAATGGATGACGTAGTGCGGGCACTGATACAAGCTACGGCGGCCCAGCAGGAGGCTACCCGTGTCCAGGCAGCCGCCCAACAGGAGGCAGTGCAGCTGCAGCGAGAGACTAATCACCTGCTGATGGACCAGGCTGCTCAAGACCGAGCTATGCTGCGGGAACTGGTAAACCAGGTAAAGTCCCTTACAGAGCTGAATCGCGGCCATGATGGGATGCGGCTCATACGGGCCAGCCATTGACTGCAGAAAATGACATGGGAGGATGATGTAGAGGCATACCTTCTGGCCTTTGAGAGGACAGCCCTACGGGAGGCCTGGCCTTGAGATCAGTGGTCTGGCATCCTTGCCCCATTCCTGTGTGGGGAGGCCCAGAAGGCCTACCATGATCTGCCTGAAGAGGCTGCGGCAGACTACCCCCAGCTGAAAGCAGAAATCCTGGCCAGATCTGGGGTAACAACAGCAGTGCGGGCCCAGCAGTATCACAGTTGGAGGTACCAGAAAGACAAAACCCCGCGGTCCCGATTGTATGACCTCATCCATCTCGCATGAAAGTGGTTGCAAACAGAGTCCCGGAGTCCGAAAGAGATACTAGCGGTTCTGGTCATCGACCGATACATGAGGGGACTACCACCAGACCTTCGTGCCTGGGTAAGCCAGAACGAACCCTCCACCTATGACGAGGTTGTTGCCCTGGTAGAGAGGCGAAGGACAGCGAGGGAGCTGACCCGACCAGTTAAGGAAGAGGCACCCCGGGTTAAACTAGCAGCACCGAGCCCTAAAGTTCGGGTGACTGGGCCACCAGGAGGGCCCAGGTGGAAAAAGAGAGAGGCTGAAGGCCCATCAGAGGCCACAAAGAGTCGGAGCACTGAGGGAGAAGACGATCGTGATGTTAGACTGCCCAAACCAAGAGACCGGGGAACCCCTAGGGCTCCATACAGATGTTATGCCTGCGGGGAGTGGGGACACATAGCTGCACAGTGTCCCAATGCTGAGGAGCCTATGCAGTGTAACCTGGGGAACTGGGCAGATCCATGCTCCCTAATCCACCTTGTGGGGGGTCTCACTAACCCCACATATGTATACCAGACCAGTGAAACTAAATGGGGTAGGGACCACGGCACTGGTTGATTTGGGGAGTGCTATCACGCTTATCTCAGGGAAGCTCGTGAAGTGTAGTCAGCTGCTGCAGGCTAAACGTACGGGGATAACATGTGTCCATGGGACAGTTAGTTACTACCCCACCATCCCAGTAAAAATAGAGATCCAAGGGAACACTACTGAGGTAGCAGCAGGTGTAGTCCCTAAACTCCCATACCCGGTGCTCATAGGGAGGGACTTCCCAGGGTTTGGAAACTTACTCCCAGTAGGGGGATTGGAGAAAGATGGGGACCCTAAAATTGGTGAGGCATCCACAGCAGACTGTCAACCCCCAATCTTCTCTGAAATATCCCCAGATTTGTTCTCCACTCCCAGACAGGGTAGAAAGACAAAAAGGGAAAGAAGGGCAGCTAAGGCCTTGGGAACCCGAATACTGACCCAAAGCCAGAGGGTCGCTCTTGTAGGTAGGCGGATCCACGCAGCTGAAAAGGAGGCCACGCAGGAGAGAGAAGCACCTCAGTCTGACCCCCACCCTAATGCTTCTGAACCAGTAGAGGCAACAGAGACTGGGCCCCTAGATCTTGGGCAGATTAGCCCCGGGAGAGGAAATTTTGGACGGGACCAGGCAGAAGACCCAAGGTATGACAACATTAGGAAGGAGGTGACTGAAATAGATGGGGTCCCCGTGGAAGGGAAAACCCAGGGACCAGGACCCTACTTCATAATGAAGAAGGATCTCTTATACCGGGTTGCACCAGTACAGGGGCAGAAGGTACAGCAGATCCTAGTACCTCAAAAACACCAGAACGCTGTATTAAGTCTTGCTCATAGTCATCTTTTTGGGGGGCATTTGGGAGTAGAGAAGACCCTGGCACGAGTCCTACGACGGTTCTTCTGGCCCGGAGTACATGAAGAAGTGCGGAGGTACTGTGCCTCCTGCCCGGAGTGTCAGCTGCACAGTCCCCGTCCCCACTTGAGGGCACCTTTAGTACCCCTTCCCAACATAAAGGTCCCCTTCGAGCGAATAGCCATGGACCTAGTGGGACCCCTGGAGAAGACGGCTCAGGGCCACCAATATATACTTGTTGTTTTGGACTATGCTACTCGCTACCCAGAAGCCGTCCCCCTACGGAACACGGCCTCTAAAACTATAGCCAAAGAGCTGGTGGGGATCTTTGCCCGAATGGGGCTACCGAAGGAGATATTAACCGACCAAGGAACCCCATTTATGTCGAAGCTAATGAAGGACCTCTGTACGCTGCTCCATATACATACCCTGAGAACTTTGGTCTACCATCCGCAAACTGATGGGTTGGTAGAAAGGTTTAACCGAACCCTCAAGGCTATGATAAGGAAGGTGGTAAGTCGGGATGGGAAGGATTGGGACATCCTACTACCCTATCTTATGTTCGCTATCCGGGAGGTACCTCAGGCCTCAACTGGGTTTTCCCCCTTCGAA